ATGGGCTAGAACCTAAAGCAAAATTCAAGTAACCCTGCAATCCTTGTGTCGTGGGCCTTGAACCTACATAGTACCAGCGGTACCCGAGTTGCTCCATGACTTGAGTTAGAATGGCTTGGAAGCTACACGCAGCGTACGTCAAATCATGAAACAGAACATGCAAATGAGCATATGAATGGAAAAACATTATATATACACATATACGTATGAGCACCACTTTCACTATACCACATATATGTCGTTGCCCTTAGCAGTCATCTCACTAACTACAGCCACATCTTGATTCTCCTTGTGTAAAGCTTGACACCAAATGGATGAGAAGTCAGGAATTATGTATCCGCTGCAGGCAAACTCATTCATATATTGTCTCACATCATTTCTTTCAACAATTCTCTTTGATTTAGCGCCCCTTCCCATGAAGGCAATTTCAAAGAAATCTTCAGCCCCACCCCATCTTTCAGCAACGTTGAAAAGTGATAGCACAACGAAATCCCTCTTCACAATGTGCGATGGTTGTCTCATGCTTAATTTCAATAACTTTGAGAAACCAGAGTGTATCTTGGAGCCATCTAATCAGCTTAATCAACTACAGTAAATTGCAAAAGTGTGTTAGGTTGAAATAGAATATACGTTAAATTGAGTGTAAGATAAGATCACTTACTATGGTCAAAAACGGGAATTGTACCATCTATAAAGCTGGCATGAACGACATAGCTCCATGGAGAAATCCAGGTGCCTAAGGAGGAAGTTGGGGATGACGCGCTCAAATGAGACCGGTGATGGGGATGACGCGCGGCTGCCAGGGTCGGGGTTGGGGATGAGGGTGGCGTGCGATGGCCGGCCGATGGTGTCGAGGATGAGGACGGGGACAGGGACGGTGCACAGCTACTGGGGCTGGGGCCGAGGATGGGGACGGTCCCCGGTGGATGGGGACGGCGGACAGCGTCAACGCTATTGGGGCTCCTCCGGTTGGGGCTGCTCGGTTAGAGAGACAAACGTGAGGGTAGGAAATATAAATTTCCAATATATATGGTAAGGACATCGCTGCCAAGTGAAAGCTTGAAGGTTTGAACCGGCAATGATTTCCGGTCTAAGCTTTTATATTTGCACATGTATACGTCGTTTTGTTAGTTCCCAGCCAATTCATCCTTAATCTCCATCCTTTGTCACCATCAGCCGAGCAGCCGACTGCTTTTTGTTGCAGTCAGTTTTGTCAAATAGATGGTATCCCTGTCCAGGTCCTCAGCCTCGCAAGGTAAGCGATTGAGACCGGACCTCCCTCTCATTATGTGCAACAACAGCACACTTTGTTGGAGTCCAAGGTGAAGAAGCAAGGTCCCAACTAGACCGCATCTTCTAGAAGTGTCCAGATCGTAAGGTTAGGTCTTGTTAGCAGTGTTTTTATCTGATTTCTAGCCATTTTTTGTGATGATTTTGATTCGAAGTTCATGTTTTGGTGTTCTTTCAGTGTAATGATAGTGGATGGCCATGCTGGTACTAGGAGGAAGAATGTATTGAGCTATTGAAAATGTTGGCAGAGGAGGCTGAGAGTGCACCTGTGCATAGAGAGGTGAATCAAAAGAAGTCCATGGATGAAAAAATGGAAAAGAATTTGTCTCTTTTAGTTGGAGTTGGAGGAGTAATCCTTGTTCCGTTGAAGTGCATTGTAGGTCTAGTTTGTTTAGTGCTAGTTGGGATTGTCTACATTGTATCTAGGCTCTAAACATTATGTTACATATTTGTATTAGTGCTAATTTAAAATATCTATAGTGTATATCTATCCAAGTTTGTAGCTAGAATCGTAGAAAATAATTCTGAAAATTATGAAAGATTTAGGGATAATATCACCGTAGGTTCTATTTGTAAACCAACAGTGACGCTAGGCGCGGCACGCAGAAATTAATTTAAACTTTAAAAATTGTGAATCATTCAAAGTCTACAAACACAACATAAATACTACAAACATACAACCTTTTAATAACTAGGACAATGTTAAAACTAAAGTCTACAACATATTACAATATAACCACCTCACAAACATTCTTCTAGCACCCGAGTGAGATCTCAGAGGTGCAAGAGTATGCCGGAGGGGGTGGAGAGAGCCAACCATGGTGCATAAGGGTTTGGAGCCGTGATGAAGCCATGCCTCTAGCAATTGGCTGCCGCTAGTTCAACGTAGATGAACAACCTATCGGAGCACTGAATAGGATTATATAGCTACCAGGTCACCTTGGATCCGGCATGGCTCTATCTTCACAAACATTCTACTAGTACCTCTCATGCATCATCTTGACTACAAAATAGAAGGTGTACGTGGAAACCTTTCTCCCATAGCGAACACATATCGAGACTATACACAAATGGCTGGCGCGCACACACACACATGCAGGGCTCCTATTAAGCTAGCTCCTCTGTCTGTGGAGGCATCTGGACGCATGTTTTATAACCAGAAGCAATAGTGGTAGGTGGAATCAATAGTGAAGAATCAATAAATTGATAGTTAGGTGGATCCAATGGCTAGAAAAATACTGATGGGCCAGTACAAAAGTCGGCAATGAAATATCACTACCGGATGGTGGCTTGACCCTGCAGGAATATTGTGTTCGATCATAGCATGAGCTGGTAGGGATATCATATCTTTCACTGCCAGTTTCTAGCTTAACCAGCAGGATATATTGCTGCCAGTTGGTGGTTTGAGCCAGCATTGATAGGTGCCATCACAACTAGATGAATAGCTTCCACCAAGTTTTTGGATCCTAGGCTTATAACTCGGCAGTGATAAGTAATCACTGTTGGCTGTAGTACAACCGGCAATGATGCTCTGACAGTGATTGCATGTTCTAGCGTAATGGATGAACGATGTTTGAGCTCTGACATATGAGATGGCAAGGAGGATTCATGGTTTGAACTCTAAGAAACACGTACGGTCGCTGGAGAACGCCGAATCCAGAGCGAATCGGTGGCGAGCAGAAGCGTAGGTCAAAAACCTGAATCGCTTCCATTCAGCATATTATCGTTTGGAGCGGCCGCCGCCGTTCGGTGCCGCTCCTCCGATTCCAGGGAGCGCTATTAAACTGATATGGCATCTGTCTTCGCACAGTGATGTTAGCAGGCCGAACGGTTCTAAAGAAAAATTACTCTCTACGTCGGCCCCGTTCGGCTTACCCTGACTTCTTTTTTCAACCGGAACAGTGTTTTTCTCTCACAACAATTCAGCCAGAACAGTGTTTTTCAACCAGTTTCAGCCAAAATTCAGCAAGCCGAACGGGGATAAAAGTCAAAACTTTTCTAAATACATAAAAAATTACTAATACTTATAGTATGTAGTAAGTATTATTAAATTGGTTGTAGAATATACTTTTTATAATAAAATTATTTATAAATATAAATATTGATATTATTTTCTATATCATTGGTCAAAGTTAAAAGAAGTTTGAGTTCACAATAATCAAGATATGCACTTATTTTGGGACGAAGGGAGTAGAAGAAAAAATTCTATCTAACCTCCCCAATTATTGCACAAGTTCAATTTGCCTCCTTTAACACGAAAATCAGACTTTTAGGCTCCCTTCATTTTTAAATCGTCTTATTTATTACCTTCCACGGTTTTAGCTGATGTGGCACCATGTCAGCCATTCTACGTGGCACCATGTCAGTCATGAGGAGGTAAATCAAACTTTCGTGATTGTTCAGAAAGGTCATTAAACTTTATCAAAATGTTGCGAACAAGATATTTCAGGCTAGGCACTATAACATATATAACATAGAGCATGATTTTGTCTCAAAAAAACATAGAGCATGATTTTAGAAAAAAAAATCTAGAACTAGTTTCATAATTGTCCGAGCTAAAACAAATTTTGTATGAATTTTCTAAGATTAAACTAGGTTTCATGATTTTCAATTGTATTATTTTTTATATAAAAATATATTTTGATATTTTTAAAAATATTTTATAAAATTTTAAATATTTTTTTATAAAAAGAAGTTCTAATCCGATTTACCTCCTTGAACTTCCAATTTAGTCCAATTTACCTCCCTGACGTGGCGCCACATTAGCAAAATCACTACCAAAACTGCTGAGGGTGCAAAAGTGAACGGTTTTCAAAAGTTAAGGGAGATTTAAAAACTGATTTTGTAGATCAGGAAGAAAACCAGACGTGATAGTTGAGAGAGGTAAATGAGACTTTTTTTATAAAAAAACAAAACAATAGGCAATCAAACCCTCTTCACCTTGGGCACTTTTGGGCTCCTAGCCCACACAGCTCAGCTGACGAAAAGAAAATGAAAAAAGGGTATGTACGACACCAAGATTCGAACTCACACTGACTAGTAAACTAGCCTGTGTTGCTTCCTTGTTAACTTTAACTTTTTTCATAAAAAATTAATGTAGACTTTGTTCCATATATATGTCCATGTAAATAAATAATTTAGTTATAATCTTTGGCAATAATATGGGACTTTCAAATTTGAAATGTATTTGTGTTGGTTTATTGGAATTACTTAAAATGTATTGATATATATGACAACATGGGCTTCTCCTAGTTGTAGATACATCTTGATATAGATATCTAAAGTAAAAACCAGTTTATGGAAGAGGATGTGATCGAAGTAATAGCTTAAGCAAATACTTGTTTAGAGCACATAAGTGATAGATGTATTTTGTACAGGTTTGTAGATGATAGAAAACTGAGGAATATCACACGTGTTGCTGCGAGACTTTTTTTATAAGTTATTAGTGATATAACTAGCCGAAAGATATTCCACGTGTATATAGAATTAAAATCGACTGATAATAACTCGATTACTTTATTTATTACTATATCTCCTCAATTAATTAGGCTCAGCCAGTACAATACATCATCACTCATATTATTTATTATTATTACATACAGTACCGATTATTATGGAATATATATTAGGGGGTCCGCCGGCCGGCTGCTATCCAAATACTTGTCCCCTTTTGTCGAGAGGCATGTAATGTAATTGTCAGGCGGCGATGTTCAGTTATCCATGTCCAGGACGAGAGGCGTGTCCCCTTTGTCGACGCTGAACGCCTTGAGCATCTTCGTCCCCGTGGGCATGGTGACCTGCGCCACGTAGTTGCCGTGGAAGCCCCTGAACTTGAACTGTCCATCGGCGTCGAGGCGGCCCCGCGCGTCGGAGGTCCACTCCCTCCGGAGGTCAATGAACCTCTGGCCGGCGTCGTTGACTGTGCCGTCGCTGTTGACGAGGGCGGCGTCCTGCCTCCACATGTATCCCTGCATGAACCCCCAGAGCACGACGCCCTGGACGGCCGGGTGCGCGTACGCCTCGCGCATCACGGCCTCGAGGTCGTCGGCCCGCAGGGCGTCGTCGGGCTCGCCCACGTCGAGCTCCGTAAACCAGATAGGCAGGTCGGTGGCCGCGGAGAGCGCGTCGAGCGCGTCGCAGATGATCTCCCCGACGGGTGGGTCACGTGGCCCTGCAGCCCGACGCCGCCGACCTGCGCGCCGCGCCACTGCAGGTAACGGATGAGCTCCACGTACCGCTCCGGCGTGGCGCTGGGGTCGTTGCCGCACTCGACGTTGTAGTCGTTGACGAAGAGCGCGGCGCCCGGGTCCAGGCGGGCCGCCTCGCGGAACATGAGCGCGGCCACGTCGTCGCCCAGGCGGTCGCGGAAGAAGCGCCCGTGCAGCATCTCGTTGTTGACGTCGTAGTGCGGGAACCTCCCCGCGTAGCGGCCGAGGAGGCCGTTGAGGCGTGCCTGCACGGCAGCCATGAGCTGGTCCCGGTCGTAGGCGGCGATGTCCTTGATCCACTGCTGCACGTCGCCGTCGACGGCCCAGAAGATGCAGTGGCCCCGCACGGGCTTGCCCGCGCGGTCGCAGAAGTCGAGCAGGCGGTCGGCGTCCGCGTAGTTGAGCTGCCCGCGCTGCGCCTCGGTCCAGTACCACTTGAGCTCGTTCTCGAAGACGGCCCAGTCCATGTGGTTGGTGAAGAAGTCCACGAAGGCCGGGTCCTGGATCACCGTGCCGTTGATGCAGCTGCCAATGGGGAAGGCACTGTCCAGCTGCACCACGCGCACGGACGCGCCCGCCGGGGCACCGCCGGCCACATTCACAACCACGTCACGCTTGCGCACCTGGCAGCCATGGTCCATGCATGCATGTCACTCACACACACGTACAAGAAGGGATACCTATAATGCACGGAGTATTTACATGCTAACGAGTATAACTCTAGAGTAGACTAGACGCCTTCACCACCACAAGGGGCGGGAGGCCGGCCGGAGAGCATTTTTTACTAGCATCATTATTCGGCGCGGCTGAGAGTGATGGGCACTGATTAAGTGACCTTAATTATACAGTGTAGTTGATGATTGATGAAAAGAACATAAATAACACATTAGCTAGGTATATATAGAGAGAGATAATAAATAACAAGGGAAGGGTTGTGAATAATGAAGCCCTGGTCGCCGTCAAAATTAAACCAGTTGGTTAAGTTGGTCATTTCAAGACGTAAATGAGGCGTGTCGCTCACCTTGTCCGTCTTGTCCTTGAGGTAGCTGAAGCGCGCTTTTGGGTCGGTGGCGATGATCCGAAGGTCCATGACCTTCACGTCCACGCCGGCAGGCACCCCATGCACGTGCACCGCCGCGCTGCGGGGGCTCTCCTTCAGCCGGAACGCGCCCTTGATCTCCGCCCACCTGCTGCCGCCGCCTGCTGCCTCCGACTCGGAGGCGGCGGCGGAGCAGGCGACAGCGCCGCCGTCGATGACGCAGCGGCCGTCGTCGACGCGGATGCTGACGTGCACGGGATGATAGGTCGTTGTTCCTCCCACCCCGGCGCCTGGCGCCGCCGCTACGCTGACGCTGATCCATCCGGCGACACGGTACGTGACCCGGGGCTTGAGCGCGCCCGGCGTGATCGCCTGGCACAGGCCGTCCTCCTCGTCGGCGAGCCCCGTCGCGAGGACGTACCGCCCGCTGGGCGTGCGCTCGTGCCCGCCGACGGTGGCCTCCCCTTTATTAGCGGCGGGGAGCCTGGCCGGGTCCAGCTCGTGGTGCAGGGACAGCGCCGTGCGCGCACCGGAGGGAGCCCAGCCGATGGCGTCCACCTCGAACACCACATCACCCTGCAGGTCGATCGACATGCATGCATGCAAAACAAAGGAAGTGATGAGAGACGACGTGCAGTATATGCATGCGCTTCATTCCGACAGTGCTGTACAATACACAAGTGGCAGTGGGCCGGCATGGAGTATGTATGTATATTTTTCATCGTCTGTTCGTACTGTACGACAAAAGCAGCAGGCTTTTGCACAAATTTTACACATGCATATATATACATACCTGGTGACTGCAGGCCATGGCCGACAAGTTTTTGGTGTGTGTTTGTGTGTTGGGACGAAAGGAAACTTGTTCGCTCGTGACTTCTTGTGAGGAGAGACGGGATTGAGGACGCAGCCGTATTTAAAGGCATCCGGCCGTCATATATGTATTATCTTTCGTGGCAAGGAAAAACATATACTACCTCTCTCTAGAGTTGCTTGCAGCAATGCGTAGTAGCAAAGACCAACTTACCCCAGTTGATTCAAAGAACAAACTGCAAGCAACCAGCTGTGTGATGAATGTTATTACCAAGACAAAGATCTCTCTCTCTCTCTCTCTCTGATCTCTCTCTCTCTCTCTGATCTCTCTCTCCCTCTTCCCTGATTTTTTCTGAAGTCAAGGTGAAGCAACACCACCATGCATCTGCACTCTCATTGGCCAGACTTAAATTTGTAGGGATGATACATACATGCCAATTCAAAGAAGTGGGTGTTTAATTAGATTCCTCTCTTATATCTTGGTGTACACTTAGTCTCTCTTACTGAGGATCGATCACTGCATGCATGTGTTACAAAGTAGATCACTGGATGTATTGATCTACGTACCCTTTTAATTCTATCAAGAACATATATGTGATGGAAATTAAACTGATTCTATATATGATGAACTATAATAAGATAAGAAGTAGTAGTGCTATATATAAATCTTTGGCAGTTGATAGAAAATTTATATATATCATACCATGTATATATGGAGCGTGTAGATCAAGTATAGAGTTCATGGCACCAGTTGCAAGTTGCAGCCGCCACCCGCACTGCATGGATGGAGACGATCGATGGACTATGATGCAGTTCGTTTAGACGTACAGCGTCGCCAAAACTACTACGATCGACATGCATAGCTTCAAGGCACGGATAGCGGCTAAAAGCTAGCAAAAGCATATAGCATGAATGAATTGTGTTGTGTCATGTGTGTGTACCTATTTATGGTGATGCACCGCGACGTCGCTCTCGCCGTGCTGACGTACATGCACTGAGACCAGTTAATAATAGGGAAGGCCATTATATTGTTGGGCATGTATGGGCCGCCCAATAACCGTGTAGCATATATATGCAGCTGTGTACACCAAAATTTAGAAGAAAAGTCGCGGGAACTCGAAAGCTTCCAAGATCATTTCATCAAGGAATTAATTGCGTGTAGATCGGAACGAGCTGATTCGGATGCAAAAACTGGAATCGGCTTTCTTCATATAGCGCCAGCGGATAACGACAAAGGCTACGTTCGGCGCCAGGACGAAACACGTTGGACTCTACAAAAAGGGAAAGATTAGAGTACAAATTATCTTAAATTAGGAATGTTTTCTTTAGGGTCAAAATTTGTGATGAGTCATGCTTAGACAGGAGTCATGCGCAGGTCCTGGGTATAAATATCAAGCCCCGGCTATTGTAAAGGGACAACAATCAATCCAATATACAAGTCATTTACTTTTTCAGCTCCGGCCACCCTTAGGAGTAGGAGTAGAGTAGATTTCGGCGAGTTCTTCAGCAAGTACGGCTGCATCGATCCGGTCGACCTCCATTGCTTGTTGTAAGTACCGTCATGGCTTATACCTCTGTTCATACGGCTGCATCGATCCGGTCGACCTCCACTGCGACTCTGGTATAAGTTAGTTATTAATTCTTGCCTAGTTCAAGTATGGCTGCATCGATCCGGTCGACCCCCACTGCATGAACTAGATCAAGGTCAAGTTATCGGCTCTACCTTAGAATGACAGTCTTTGGTAGATTCATTAAGTTACCGATATTGCTTATTGCTTTCATTATTTATCTAATTACAACAATATCAATCTGCCCGATTGGGATTGATCTAAATCTAGATCGGCCTTATATCTTGTTTAGCCCATCGTTTAATAAATCTAAATTGATCTAATCTACACTTTAAACGATGAGTTATGTTTTATTGGCTGTTTTATATCAATCCTGATCGTGCATAGCGTGCGGTTAAGGCGTGTTGCGTCTTGAGTAGATTTATCGGCTAGCGAGAACCGTTCCATAGCCTGTTATCACGGCCTGTGTGATTCTGCCTCACACCCCACTGTTAGACCGTGGAGTGGGGATCGTTATTTGATAGATCTGTTCCTAATAAGGCATGACCTTAGCTGTGCGTTATGCCTGAATCGGCTGTTTTAGCCGATATCGAGTGCTTTCACGAACAGTTCGCATCACGAGACCGTTGAAGTAAAGATAAGTTGAAAGATATGTTAGCCCCATGATCTTATTATTGTATTACGGTCTGCATGATTCTGCCTCATGCCCCACTGATATTAGTAATGAGTAAGGGTCGTCAAGTCTATTGTTATTTCTACGGCCTGCATGATTCTGCCTCATGCCCCACTGGTCATAGCGATAGATGAGATCTAATATGTTCACTAGATTTATCTTTATCAAACGGTTAAGTGATGTTGAATCGTTTCTTTATATAAAAAGGGGTTCGGTTACTTGTAATCATTGGCTTAGCATAAACCAATCATTGTTGACATCTTATTGCCATTGATTAATATTTGTTCAATAACGACATTTACCCTGAATGATAACCGATTCTTCTTATACAACCCAATGAGCTTTAACCGATTTATTCTCACGAATATGCTAGAATCGACTGTTTAGTCGATCTCCTTTCATATCGGTTTTCAGAGCCGCACATTCAGGACTGTCTAGCAACACCGGCAAGTTCTGCCCTTAATTACTGATGAACTTTCTCTCCTTGTCAATTACAGGGTCAAATTGACTGGCACGTCTTGGGAGGAGTGCGTAGGATCGACCACCCCTGCGCTGAAGCTAGGCGGATCTACAGCTCCATCGAGCAGACCCTTCTAGCTTGCTGCATGTGTCCTCGGCACGGGACGAAAATTCTGTGTCGACACACGTTTCTGGCACGCCCGGTGTGACCCCACAATCGTCATGGCGGTTCACAACAACAACGACATCCTTATGCTGCATTATGAAGATCTACCTGATGGGGATAAGGGTATCATCAGCAAAGCTACAGAAGAGTTTCAGAACAAATGTTTGTTGTTCTACACCAAAACACGTAACAACACAATTATTTAGAAATTTCCACTACCAAGAGTTCTGTTACATAGGCAGACAGACACAATTAAAGCTAAAGATAGGCGTTTCTTTAAGGAAGTTGTAGACAAATCTGTTCGTGATGCCATATCAAGCCGTAACGAAGCTTTCGTGGACATATTCCACAATGCCATGAGAGAAGCGATTCATGGGTTTCCAGTTGGTCAAGGTGGGCCAATTTATTACAACATTCCAGATCCGTCAACCCAAGGGACCAATCAAGTCGGTACCAGCCATCAAGAAGCAGCACCAGCTGGTAGTGGTGATGTCCAGACAGTTCAGGGTTCATCTAAACAAACTCAAGAAACTACTACAAATCAGACACAGTATAATCCTAGACTGTCAGTACAGCATGTGCAACAGCCGGCGGGGCAAAGTCAGAACCAGGTGATCAATTTTGGCACATCAGGCCACATACCATCATCGGCTCAAAAAATAGCATCATCAATTCAAAGGATCCATAGAGATATAGATCATTATGTCTATAATCAGAGACTTCAAGCAGCAAGCCAGTAAAGGGCCCAGCAGATTGAGATTCCACAAGGGTATCACTGTGGCACAGATTATAATACCCTCCACATGATGCCGAATCCAGGATATCAAGGCACGTGGGATTTCAATCCACAGATGGGTCAGCAGGTGCAGAGGAGTCCAAATCCGCAAGCTGATGAATTATTGCTGAGGGTGACCGAGATGATGAAAAATTAGTTCGATATGAAGCCAAAAGGACTGACCTTTTCATACAAATGCCCATATCCAGAATGGTATGATTTGGTCGCTCTTCCCACAAATTATAGGCTCCCAGAATTCGCTAAGTTCACTGGCCAAGACAGTACAAGCATGATAGAACATATCAGTCGGTATCTTACACAATTGGGTGAAGCATCAGTTGAGGATGCCCATCGAGTTTGTTTATTCTCTGTCCTTATCAGGGCTAACCTTCACTTGGTTTTCATCATTGCTAGTCAATTCCATTGCCAATTGGGCTGACCTGGAGAAGAAGTTTCATACATATTTTTATATTGGGACTGGAGAAAAGAAGATTACCGATCTAACAACTATAAGACAAAAGACTAATGAATCGGGCACTAAATTTCTTCAGAGGTTCCGAGAAACCAGGAACTTATGGTTCTCCTTAAACTTGGCCGATGATCAACTAGCTGCTTTAGCTGTTCAAGGAATGCTGCCGATGTGGAAAGAAAAACTGCTGGGATAAGAATTTAACAACCTGGGTCAATTGGCTCAACGAGTAGCAACGCTCAATAGCCAATTCTAGAGTATACGCAGAGATACCCGGTTCTAGAAGAGTACCACAATAGCCGAAGCTTATGACCCATACCTAGTCAATGACGGCTATGAAGATGAAGAAGAAGAGGTTGCTGCAGCTGAATGGAATTGGGGCAAGAAGACAGTAATGGTGCCTAATCCTTGGGGAAGAGGAGTCGAGAAAAGCTATGACTTTTATGTCACCAAATCAGATAAACTCTTTGATTTCTTGCTTGAGAAAGGACAGATCAAGTTGCCCGATAGTCATGTCATGTTGCCCCTTGATCAGTTAAAGAATAAGAAGTTCTGCAAGTTTCATAATGCTACTTCTCATTTCACTAATGAATGCAGAATCTTCAGGCAGCATATACAGAGAGCTATTCAGCAGGGGAGGCTCAAATTTGATACGCCTCGGAAAATAAAAGTTG